CCTTTATATGATAGTGACAGCTGAAGACAGACAGGAAAGGGGGGCAGAGAGAGGGGATGACACGCAGCAAAGGGTCGCAGGTCGGATTCAAACCCTGGGCCGCTGCAGCAAGGACTCAGCCTTGGTACATGGGTCGGCAGCTCTACCAACTGAGCTAACCGGGCGCCCGTCTTAATGTTTCCTGTTTGCAATGAATGTTTCCCTATCCAGGTAACATAATACAGATATAGACCACATGTTATAACCAGGCTATGGCATTCTTTTTTTATCTTTCTTGTTTTGCTATGTCTTATATCTTATAGGATCGAAAACAAACCACAAGATCCTGCAAAAACTCCTGGAATGGGACAGAGACAGTCTTGAAAAGTATTCTGTTTGTTTTGGCTACACGCCCACTGTGTCAGTAGTAAGCAAACCAGCAGTAAGCAGCATGATCACAGTAAACTGAAAGGGGGCCATGGTCTGTTTGCTGCATTGCAAAGCTGCACACTGAGGTGAACAAGACTCTTCCTGCCAAATCGATCATCCCAAAAAATATTTAAGATGCATGGAGATCCAGGAGTTTCCAAAAATACAAGACGTGTCAGCCTGAGGTCTAACAGTCTCATTTCAAAGCTTGGAAAAAGGTCAAATGAAACGTTTGGTTAAACAATGATAGATGATGTGGTCCAGGTTGAAAATGGCCAAATTTATACTGAAGCCCTGTGGAATGTCACATCCAAGCCTGTAGATTGTATCTCTCCCCCAGAGACCAGGAAGGTAAGAAGTAAAACTGTAGGATTACCACCTTACAGTGTTCTGTGTTATACCACAAGTTATGAGGTGGCTCTGCCTTTCTTTGGTTGTCTCGGATTGTTCTTATTTTCTAAAAAGGTACCTGTTAATTCTGTCCGTCTGCCCCTGCCATGCACCCTAAGTTGAAAACAAAAGGGATAAAGCCAGCCTGTATGTCACTGATGAACCTGAGCAGCTGGTGTCTGCCGCCATTTTTGTGTACAGCTCATGTACAGTCCTCTGAACTCTTTCCCTAATGTCTAATGTATCAGTATGTATCTCTCACACATTTGTACGTATGACCGTGAGTGTTATTTTCTGTTTCTTTTCTCCTTTTTTTGGATGGTGTTTATTTAAAACAGAAGCAGGCGCTGGTCTGCTGGCCTGTCTCAATGTGTTTCTGGAGACAGTCCCATTACCCAGCTTCTTCCGGATGTGTTGAGACCCCGAACACCAAAGTCCTCTGTGCGCCCCGCAGATTACCGGCTCCACTGTTCCATGCTAACACTTCTATACATACGTATATAACACAAGTTTTAAAAAGTAATGCAATTGGTTTTATTGAGCTGTTATATCTTGCCGGTTATAAACCAGATTCACAGAAGAGGTTTTATAATCATGTGTTTGCATGGGAGCACAGACCTTGTACATACAGTACATCAGCATAGCCATATGAAGTAGTTTTAATTTACTCTTGTCTTTATAGATATGGTTGTATGCTCCAATGACAGTTAAGCCTCGGTCAGAACAACTTCCTCCTTTCCTGTACTGAGATTAGAAAGACAACCATATTTTGCATAACTGGCCTACAAAGATGGCATCAGTGAAAACTATGAACTATCTGGTTAGCACCAGAAACTTGAGAAAAGTTTTTGCTCATGTAATGACCTGACTACTGTCAGTCTCAGGCTCTTGATCAGTGTAATACCTGGATCCTTAAGTTACTGTACATATAAATTAAAATTCAGTGTTTTGTGTCTAGTTACAAGTTTTAGCTCCTCATAACTATAGTGTCATTTTAACTCATAGGTCTCTTTAATGGATCACGTAATTTAAGTAATTTTCATATTGGGTGAAAATGAATGAATAGCTAGTCAACTTACTGTATTTCAGCTATGGTTAAATGGTCTAATAGATTGCTAAAAGCAATTGATAAATCATTGAAATTGGTAGGTAAAGATTTCTGAAAATGATGAGTTGATTATTGAGTCTCTAACTATCTTTCTTGGCTCTGATTGGTTTCGTTCAGGCATTCACAGATTATCTGTCTTATGTTCTACTGTCAGGATATAGTGAAAGTTTCAGCAAATATGACAAAGTTATTTTTATAAAAATTACCTACTGCAGCTTTAACGTAATGGATAAACTGAAAATAGCAAAAATTATTGAATAATTTGTTTGAGTAGTTGAAAGCAAGCCTGGGTGGTTGTAATAGCTAAAAGTAATGGATAATTGGCTTAAATGTTTGGCTTCTAGAGCAAATTTAAACGTGTCCAAACTGACATAAACATTTACAGTTTAGCTGTATAAAGAAAATGTTATAATAAACATTCAGTTTAAAATCAGTTCAGATAAACATGTTTAGAACATGATGGGTGGTGCTGGATGAATCTGCGGGACACTTGACTTGCAGAGATTCCTGACACATTTTGATTTAGTTTAGTGTTCCCAGTAGCTGCATCAGCGCAGCACTTCCTGTACCCAAGACCTAACAAGGAGCCTGCTGTCTCTCAGTGTGTGTTAGCATGGAGCAGTAAAGTCACATGGCCCATTTTGGTGCTTGCGTGTTCCCGGCTCTAAAAAAGGAAGCTGACCAGCGGGACAGTCTACCAAAAGCTTGATGAATTCCTCAAACAGTGCAGCGCTAGTCAGCATGTTTCTGCCTCCATCAGTCTGTCTGCATCTGGATGAAGCATCCTCTGTCCGTCTGTGTGTGTGAGAGACACAAACACAGTGTTCAGTGCTCAGACAGCCCTTAAGTTAAAAGCCCAGCAGAGGCCTCTTTGTCTGGATTCAGACCGTTGTCATGTAATCGCTTCTGGCCAGAAGAAAGCCTTTTGTTACACACACATACACACCATGAAGTCATAGCAGAACAGGCCCGTACCGTGAGACAGCCTTTGTCCATGCTGAACAAACTTGGATTATTGGAGCACAGGCAGTATATAGTCACACAGGAGCGTGAGCAGTTGGGGGAGCGATGCTGCTGAGCCGTCTCCACTCTTTAATGGATCCTCTGTGACACAGAGGATCAAGCTCATCCATGTCCTCCCAAAGCACTTTTTCAACTCTCTTCCCTCATCATTCAACAGAAGAATCAGTTCTGAGATTTATCAGAATTCTAAATAAAAAGATACATCAATAGAAAAAAGCACAGGAGTTCATTTTAAACCTCTTGGAACAAAAACTCAAAGATAGGAAGAAAGCTCAAAGATAGGTTTACACACACCCCTTTCCACCAATGCCAACCTAGTGCCAGTTCGGCGTTAGTTAAACTTGAGAACCTTCTACAAACCAGTTTGCTTTTCCACGGACTAGAGATACCGTGGCCCCAACCCCGATCTCTACTGCGCACTCTGGCTCCGAATAGCAAAAGATGGCAGCAGCCATATCCGGGATATTTTGGCTTCATTTTTGTACAGTGGGAGGAAGTGGAGATGCAATGTCCATCTTTTATGTCAGTTAGCTATTGTTACTAGCTGTTGGTCAGCTTACATTACCCAAGTATGGCTACTGTATTTCTCACATCAGTGACGTTTGTAATATTAATGTTAGGTTTGATGTTTGTAACACTGACAGCTAACTAGCTTGCTCAATGTTATGTTTGTAACATTGATGTAAGAAATAAGTAGCTTGCTCAACAGCTAATAAATACATAGCTGGCTGGCCTTAAGGTGCCCCCAGCCCCTGTTTATTTTTTTTTATTTTTTTATTTTTAAAGCAGCACCAATGTGTTGGTGCCGCACTGGTGAAAAGCTAGTTTGAGATAAGGCACTGGCTTCGAACTGGCCCTCCTGCTGCCTTGGTGGAAACGGAGTCACAGCCTATACTCTGTTTATACTATTTGGAGTCTGTTCGAAGGGCATGTTCCCCATAGTGGCCCTGTGGACAGTCCGCGCGATCACAACAAATTGCAGATACGTGTTGCCTACGTGTACGCCCTGTTATGAAGGAATTTACGTCACCTGGACCCTCCCACCCTAATTCCTGCTTAAGTCAGAACCTCAGAATGTTTTAAAAGTCTCAGACCTCATTTTCATGTAGCCCTCATGCTCCTTTGGCTTTTTTTATGTTTCACCGCTCTGTATGTGGGTCAGTGCAGTCACATGTTCACGCTTTGCCCTCTAGCACCCACATGGATTGGTCCAATCTAGTGCTTGTGTTCAGTGCTATCACTTCTCTGGGATCTGAGGGTGTTGTTTCTTTCTGATCTGGAACAGGGAAGAACTTGTTCGTTTTCTGTTCCTGAACGGGACGGTTCATCCACCGGGGGCAGTGTTACACGTGAAGAACCAGACTGCCTTTGACTTCGCCTTCTAACATTTCCGTAATACTGGTTTTGTACACTGCACCTTGTGTTCTGTGAATCTAACATTAATGTTGTGACTGTAACATTATGAATCAAATGTTCAGATAGTGTTTTTCTTGAGTGTTTGGTTGTATGTACCAGTGAGAGGAAATTAGTGTCACCTTACATAGTCCAAACTATGCAACATCACCGCTTCACAGCCACGACTTGGTATTATGTTGTGTCAAAAATATTCATGATCGGACTGACTGCTGATTCTCTTAATGCCCATGTCTTAGAAACCTGTCTTTAATCAAATGATCTGCCAAATGTACTGATGTTTAGTGCCTCCTTCTCCAATCTCTGCCTTTACTGTCCAATCATGTTAACGAGGGTTTTATGCTCGGTAGGTTTTTTTTTAAATGCCACACGAGCAGTTTGATGTCCAACCAAATAACTCTTCCCAGTTTTGTTATTTTCAGATAGACAAGCTTTCAATGTACAGTCTAACTTATGCTGTCTTACCCTTCTACTCTCCTAAATAAATCCAACAGTTTTTTAAAAAGTGTGTGTGCACTCACTGAACCTCTTCTCTGCAGAGAATTCATACAAACTTGTTGAACTACTTTCCATCAAGTGTGAACCTATCGTGACATCACCCATTGGTTTGTGGAGTACATTTTGAAGCCTTGAGTTTGCCGTTTTGGTCGTTGCCATGACAGTTTGTCGGAGCCAGCGAAGGAGATGACGTACTGTGAGTTGAGCTGCTCTCATTAACAGCTATTTTACTCTAAATGGGACCATCATTTACTAAATGAACATCATGCTGTATGGAAGAAGACTAGAGATTGAGACCATAAACTCAATAGGAAACTGTTTACTGAGCTCATAAATCAATAACGATAATATAACCATAAATCAGTGCATCCCTAATTTTTATCATTGATTTTGTTTCTTTATTTGTTTGTAAACTATCCAATCCAATCCAACTTTATTTGTTAAGCACTTTAAAACAACCAAAGTTGACCAAAGTGCTGTACAGA